CATCAGAAAAGATTAATGAATAAACTGAAAGCAGCCACTGGAAGTATCGAAGAGGATTGGATAAGCGTAAATCAAACGACACTTTAAGCTGATTCTGAAAATCTCTGTAATAAACCAAGAAACGAGAAAAATTGTTTACGAACATTTAAAGCCTATCTAAAAGAAATCACTGACGAAAAGAAACAAGCTTACAGAATGTATTTGCAAACTAAATTATTACAAGGGACTAGTAGCGGCTCGTGAATTTGGGCAATGGTAATGCTGGGAAATCTGGAAATCTCAGAAAAGTTTTTCAACTCATAAGAACATAAATAAATGAAAAGTAAATTTACATCAGGAGAAGAACCATACGTGTTCGAGGATTATTAATCATTTGTAAGTCCGGAAGAGACGGCCGTGAGTTTTTACATCACTCTATTCATAAAAAGGACAATTCAAAAGAAGTAATTTACTGTAAATATGATACACTTCCTTTGCTCATTGTCATTATCAGAACAAAAAATAGTCAGCACACAGAATTATTGAACACTCATTAACTATATCCACGAAAGAAATTGCGATACAGAAACTCGTCTAAAACACGAAATACCGGGCAAGCGTGTTTAATATAAGCCGGCGACTGCAGCCCCGATACGCGCTGTACCAGCCAACTGCACCTCACTCCACCTCACACCGCGTTGCTACGTGTGACCAGCGAACGGAGCTGCGAAATTTGCAGCCTCGATACGCGCTACCCCTCAATCTACCGCCCGCCGTTCTCACTAATTTTGACCGGCTAGCCGCACTGAAATCATTGCAGACGGATGATAGCCCCGTTCTCCTTCGCGTCATCGCCCGCGGACTCTCTGTCAGTTCAGTGGATAATGACAACGTAAGGGGCATATTAAAATAATGATATAGAGGAAATAAAGTGTTACAAATTATATAAACACAAAAAGAAATTTTTCAATTTTTGAAAATTATAGAGGGTGCTGCAGCTCTTATGAACGCCTAAAGTTAGAAAATACAGAAACGAAGACTGGGATATGTTTGCAAAATTACTTGATCCCGATATTACACAACCACAAAAGACAGGATTTGAAAGGTTTATTAAATTTATGGAGACAAAATTAATTCTGGCCAAGGTTGTGGTTTAAGTAAGTAATGATTTATCAAACTGCTGATTACAATCGCGCATTGAAAATCTTTATCTTAACCAAGACTGCTAGCCTTGAATGCCGAACTCAATATCTGCTTCTTGACCGCGCTTCCTACGAAAGTTCAAATAATACATATATCATGAATGAGTTAATTCCAGTAACACTGGATACTGGGACACAGGGAACGACCCGTTCTTCAAGTGCCTGAGCACTGCGGGTTCCTACTATTCGTTTGCTTGATCTTTAGGCAATTTGTAAAAGCCACAGAAGATTCGGAAAGTACTGAAGGCCTTCAGAAGGTGACCGTATATTCAGAAAAAACTACCCATGAAAGCACGGATTCCTTGCGCGAATTCATAGCTGATATGTTCTTGGGTAACAAAGCTAAATAGAGCGAAACGATTGAGAAGGACAGTGCCAAATTAGGTAGAGGGTTGTGTGAGGAAAATCAGGGAGATAACACTAAGTTGAGTAAAATTATTCAGATAATTCAATAAGGAATTGAGCAAGATATTGAAAGAAGATAATTCTAAGTTAAGCGAAACACTTAAGAATCAAATACAAGATGTTAAAAATAATATAGCATAGGAAAATTCAGAGATAAAGAGGGAAATAAAAGAATAAATTAGAGTAGAAAATGAAAGGCTCGTTTGAAGATTCGAATGTGAGAATGAGAAATTATGCAAAGAATTAACCGAGAGACTGGAAAGCGAGAATTCGAGGTTACAGGCAAATTTAAAACAGGTTCAAGATAACACCGATAAAGAATTCTCTGCTATGAAAGGTAGGTTTGGTGTTTAGGTCAACCAACAATACTAAAGAAATTGCCAAACAGCTTACTCAGAAACGTGAAGAAATAACCTGCAGCACTGTAGTAAAGAAAGAGAGGTCAGATGAAAGGTTCGCTAAGCTCGAAGGTAATATTACGTCTGTTCAATCTAGCCTAAGAAGTGGTGTGAATAAGTAGGAGAACGAAACTAGGGAACAAGTAGAAAGACATGTTAAGCAAGTTGAAACATTTAAGTATGGGCTTGACAAATTGAATTCTGAATTAAATAATACCAAGGGAAGATTTCGGAAGGCTCGACAGCGGCTGGAAACATTAGTTTGTTGCCACCCACTGACAAAAATTTAGGAATAAGCCATTCGACTTGTGGTTCTGCCCACCACCTTGAGGTTGAAGGTTATCATAGTGTTTCTGGTACTAATGTTGACGATTCCAATAGTAGGTATGATACAATGCCCTGTAACCAACAGGTGCCTAGTGGGGTTCAGTGTGAAATGAACGTGTTCATGCCACTTTTGGTCTTCAAGTAAGCAGAGTTTCGTTAAGTGTTCGATTTAACAGGACCGGTACCAAAAGGACTCGAGTCTGTGCATGTCTGAGCACTTCTTGAAGTACGCGATGCTCGCAAGTTATCTTGAACCTAAAACGACGGATGTGGAGCTAATGAATGCATTAAGATTTCATTTCCCGGTTTATGTTCAGAATAGCTTTTCGGCAGCTCAGCTAACCTGTGTCCAGGACGCTTTGGATCTCCTAAAGCGGCTGGAAAGTATTGAAATACGGGAAGGGCTAAGGCGGTCTAACTCCTCCGGCACCTCTCAAAATCAGGGTCATGACAGACCGCAATAATAATACTTACAATAGGCCGCGGCTACAGGAAGTGTTACGTGCAGCATAGGCCACGTTCTCAATAACGCCGAAGCGATAACTGGAATTC